CGCCGCCCTCGCTGGCTACTTTGAGGACCTATCCAACTATACAAAACCGTACGTGGTTTCACCGGATACCGAACCCTCTCCCAATGTCACTTCCACCATACGCCCCGACGATGTAATGGAGGCTACACTACGCTATCCCAATAAGGGGTCCCCGACGAGATCCACATCCTCCTCCTGAAGGCCGCAGTGGAGCGCTCCACCGAACGCCGGATATTAGGACGCCCCGACGCCAATAGCCCACTGATTATACTCCTTGCCGAAGCATTTACTGATCTAATGAAGGCGGGTACCTTCCCTGCAGCCCTGAACTGCAACCTCCTGACAGCACACCCAAAGAAAGCCGATGCAGATATCATCTCCCCCGCCGACTTCCGTCCCATCACGCTTACGCAGTCAGACGCATCTTTGAAAAGTGCTTTCTTAATCTGATTACGAGCCACCCCGGCTCTGCTACCCATGCTACTCAAGCTGGCTTCAAATCACGGTACTCCTGTCATACCCAAGCACTTGCCGCCATGTAATCTGAGACACAGTCAGAAGAGGAGTGGAACGACGTCTGTTTGGACATTACTAGGGCATACAACAAGGTTGCTCTCCCACGCCTATGGGTACTCCTGCGCCACGCTGGAATGCCTGAAAACTGGATCAACTGCCTCCGCGCGCTATTTGAGAGGGTCCCTACCCGAGTGACATATTGCTGCACGCTCTCGCCTCTATTCCATAGAACGAATGGCATCCTACAAGGCTCAATCGTCGGCCCCCAGTTCTTTATTACCTACATGTGTATATTACTTAGCTCCCGCTCTTGTTTATTAGTCGATGACGCACGGATCTAAGCCCCTCAATCGGTTCCGCTCCAGCCCTTCTTAGCTGACATTGATACGTGGGAACGCAAATCTGGCCTCAAACAGGGTGTGATTAACCCCGAGTACGATCTACCGACTTGCAACACGCGATGCCAACCCTTCGTATAAATGGTGAGCGTATCACGCCGACGCTTGCAGACGCACCTTGGAACACACGCTACTTCCCCCTGAAGATGGCGCCCACACATGCCAAACCGAAACACTCCAAATATCTGGGGTTTCCACTCTCTCACGGAATACCAGGGATCAACCTCACCAGACATATGGAGTCCCTGGTTGCAACATTGTCTCTGAGTATCGCCTATTTCCGCGCCGATTTTCCGATTTTTTCAGCTAGCGACACCCCCGCAACCGACTGGTGCTGTTCAAAACATTCATCATATTCACGGCTACATATTGCCTGAACATTATTGCCTGGGATGCGCCTATTTGAAAGAATGTGTTGGACCCCCTGTTCGAGCGCTTTAACTCATCGAAGAAGCAGCCATCATCACGGGCACTAAATACCCTCGGATTCCCAAACATCAAACAAACTTACTCCACTTTTGTGGCCTGCTCCCCGCGCGACCATTCGCGGACTACCTCTGAGGTTGCCTGAGAATACAACTCGACTCAATGGCCAGCACAAATCCAGTCACCCCTCTGTCGCAACCCGCCTGGGCCCACGACAAACCATCACTGCGCTTCCCGTACAGTATGTATGATCACCTGAAAACTGTACAAAAACCACGGGCGGGCGTACACCCGACCATGTAGTCCTTCGCCAACGCTGTGGCGACATCAGAAAGAACTTAACCAAACGCTGATCCAACAAGGAGATCGCGGCAATGGCCCGGTGCCAATACTACTACCAACTAGTTATGGGCAATCCGCTAACCTCAGACCGAGACAAACCCAGACACGACAGCTTCAACCGCTGCCTCGAGCCTACACCAATCCGGCTCTGTGCTATGATTGTAACGAATACGTACATGTTTACATTGCTCGACTACCGCACCGACGGCTGTCTCTGCCCTGCCTGCCCGGGTAGCCACAAGTTCACCACTAGCCACTTTACCTGCATCCAACAACTGATTTGACGCATCCTGGTAGGCCCGAAACTGCCGCCCATTGGCCCTGACCTCCTCCAGTAATTACAGGATTGTCATGACTTCCTCGGTATCTGGACCCTCCACGAACACCTTGGATCTTTTCTACAGCATGTAGAAGAACCACCGTACCCTCACCCGTCTCTGACACATCAACAGATGTTCCCCATACCCTGGCTAATCACGCTCTTGAAGTACTACTTCCAAATTTTGGTTCAAACCAAATCATCGCGCTTGTTGGTCCCGCCTATGATACTTCCGATCCAGGCCAGCCAGCACATACCGAATGCATCCGTGGTCTGGTGCGGCATTGGCTCACCCCCATCCTCGCTCCTCGACCGATTTATGACGGATAACCTGGTCCTACTCGGTATTTCGTACTCTGCACCAACCCATTCCAAGGCACTACACGGTGCAGACTCGATCCGTACCACAGAGGTGGGTACGCTACTTAGTAGGTCAGCAAGCGAATCATGGCACATTCGATGGTATCAGTGTTTTGTCAGCACCGGCCCGAATTGACTCAGCGCATATGCTCCATCGTCGACTCACATGGCCCAAGCTTCAAACGGGAATTTACTGACCACTTCTTCCCATCGATCTTTCCCGAACCACTACAACGGCTATGAGAGCCATACTATATGTTCATACATTATAACATACATTATAACATACACACATTGTAACCTATCTTTTTTTGAAACAAATATTATTATCCCTATACCAACATCGCTATATTTTTTTAACGGTTTAAAAAAAAAGGTTAAAAAAACAAAAAAAATGTATGAAAACAGACTTTTTATTTTAGACAGACCTGTTCTCTCTGGGGGACTGGGGAGGCTATATAACAGAGGCTATGTATGACAGACCATATCTGAGACCATATCTGATGTCTGACACATTTTTAAGTGACTCATTTTTATATATAAAGAAAATACATATTATAAAATATAACATATTTCTTTTTATATGTAACCTAGGTATATTTCAATGACGAGTGATATATGAGTTTGATATATGCGTTGATACAAGCTGCAACGAGTAGCAAGGGTTTACACACTATCACGGCGAATACGATATGCCATCCGTTCATTTAGACTGCCGGTGCATTGCCAATCCTTTCCTTCAGCCGCTGAATAACACTGTAGTTGGTGTTTTGCTTGTAGCGTAGCAGTATAATTATCAGCACTGTAAATGAAATACTGCCCCAAGTTATTCGACAATGTCCAGTGAACATATCGAACCACCTGTTTATAGGGCCGATCCCGACAGCCCGAATACCGCGAAATCGTCTGAGAAGGGCACAGACAAATACAATGAAAAGCCTCCTATGTATCGCGAGGCGTCAGGTGTTGGGGTACCCTCCGGTAATCAGACAGTAGACACGGCCACTTCAGCAGAACTTGGCCGTGAATTTTCGTGCAACTCTGCCTTCACCGATAGAGTAGGTGCTATCAGGGACAAGCCAGCTGTAAGTGCGCGAAAAGGTTGAAGAAATATTTATACTCTAGGAAGGTTTTATTAGAGGTCGTTGTAGACATTGTTCACCTCAAGGTAGCTTGAGAAAGCAGATACCGAACTGGTGCAATCTTAGCAATAGTACACATTGTTCACCTCAAGGTAGCGTTGAGAAAGCAGATACCGAACTGATGCAATCTTAGCAACAGTACATACAGAGTTTTTATTAATAATTAGCATTATATTTATATTATTCAGTAGACTGTTCTATAGTTTGCATTCAAGATCGCATTGCAAGTGTTTTTATGCAGAAAGTACTACTGCATTTATTTGCCGATTGCAAGCGGTCTCAAGAGGGAATTACAGTTGCTCACTTACAAAGAGTCATAAATTTTTTTTTCAAGCGGACACTTCTACAACAATCGAGATGTGTGAACTACGTACGCATTGGAATAGCTCCTCGATCGGCAGCGCGTATATGTGTTTGTAGTTAATCAATCGTAGCGAGTGTGTGAGACCAATACCTGTGTACTTGCGCCATTCCGTTCTGTCGTCAGTTTGTTACCTCAGAAGCTCGATGGGTTGTACGTGCGTATTTTCGTTCACTTCAAGTGTCTGAGTGTATCTAAAATAACACTTTCACAGTCTGTATCTGACTGTATAATGCGCAGATACGTATATGCACAATGTGTTGGCGATCACATATATAAAAATCTCTTTGCTGGTTTATTGTGTGGCGGGCGAATATGTCGGGGTCTACAGAACAGTTTGTAGTATAGTTCTTCGTGTGTATCTGTATCCACAGAGCCCTTGCACGAACCACTAGGACTATCTCACTCGATAAACGCTGAATTCGATTCGTATATTGGTTTGATTTGCGCACTGCTTCGTTCTCACTGCGTAGCTTATAATTAAATAACTATTGGTGGTCAATAAGAGGACCGAATCTATGGCTCGGCACAGTATCAAGAAAGAAATGGCTCTATTTATGCACATGTTGTATACTATCAAAATATAATGATCATATTACACCGAATAGCAACCAGACTGCTCGTCAAGCGTACACAGTACGTTTCTGTGTTCGGAGTACAGAGGCCATATTTCTTGCTCATCCATAATAGCCATTAAACGTAACTAATCGTACAATTTGTTTCGTCCTACAGGATGCCCTCACGTCACAAGAGCTTCTGGAAGAAGTCATGGCAGATGATACTGCACCGTCGCTTCTGCGGTTGTCACTGAGTTGGCAGAGCGATGCCGTGCTCGAAATCGCCGTACTGGAAGCGATTGTTGCAAGATCCGACGAGAAGAAGGATATTATAACGTATGCATTTGATATCGATTGCGTGAGAATTCTGACTGCTTACCTTGTGTGTGTCACCTCATATTGCGCGTTTTATTTTAATAGGAAACTTTGAGTGTCCAACATATTCAGCTGAAGTCAAGTGTTGCAGGCGTACTGTGCTAGTCTCCTTCGTTTACTCTGTGCTTCGCTTTTGCGAGTGTATACAGGCGAATAAATCCCAGTATTTCATACGGTTTTCAGTTAATTTCACATGGCGACATTTATACCGTGACTTGAAAATAAGCACCGCTCAGCTCGCTATACTTTCTGCACCGAACTTGGCAAAACTTTCATTGGTGTTAAGTAGTCTTTATATATTGTATCATATCACATAAAATAGTTTGGCAGAGGAAGATACGCAGCATGCAGCCGCAATTGGTGTGCCTGTTCCGCGAGGTTCTACGGATACAGAATCAAGTAGCAATGGTGTCTCAATCTCTGACCTAGACGATGCGGTCTTAGCCGACAGATTGGTATGTTTAACTCACGTAGGGTGCTATCGCCAGACGATAAATTGATGTCGACACCTATCAACTCAGGATTGGATTATCACGACTGGAGTCTAAGAGGATAAGATTAGGGTCACACTACCGGAAAAACAGTGGCTACATACTACTAACACTCCTTGGCTCAATTTCTTGCGTGAATTTTATGTTCTAAGCAGTTCAGGCGTGCATAACAATCTTTCTATATGTTTTGAGCTTTATGACGCCGTTTCCTCATTTTTTTATGGGCCGCTCGGATCGTGTTTTCTACTACATATACAGGTTTCCTGCTCGTATTAGGCCACATAAACCGCACATAAACCGCACTGGATGCAGATGAAAGAGACATTTTAACTAACATTACTGATCTACCACAGGGACAATGGTCAGTGGAGGTTTCTGTCATGAATGCAGGCACTGTCGCGGAGGTGAGGCAAACAGTGGGAGTGGTTGCGAAAAGCTGTGAGAATACCACCCACACATCATCGACCAATCCACGAAGGTAGGTGTGCCCTTCCTTATCAATACAAGTTATGTGTATTAGGGTCGAATATATTAGTACGATTGACATGTTGGAGCTTTTGCCGCCGATTCATGTTAGATTTTTGAAGTATTAGGAAGACCCAATGTAGTAGATGTTAACTAAAGTAAAACACAACTATATCGCAGGCATTATCAGCTCGCGTGGTACGAAATAATCGAACACGATGTACAGAAGCCCATCACGGTAGAGCAAGAGGCACTGCGTCGACAACAGAAAGAAGATGCGAGGCAAAGGCAAAAGTATCAGAGGCGCTCTTCAACGGCGACTAGCAGTGGAAACGAAAGCGATGGCAGCTCCAGGTATGTCATGCGCTACATATTGAAGTACATATCTGCTTCTTTCGGGGTACGCATGCGAAGTAGTTTTGGGAGATAATTTCTGGTCGGGCGTAGGGCTTTCCGCTATCCGCTTATGTATACACTCATGTTCTAAGATTGCGTAGTGCGAAGGTAAGTGCCTGTAGATCTCGTCTTTGCCCATGTAGAGGGTTATCGAGTGCGCACAGCCGGTAGTATATATGTTGTTTTGTCATTGACATCATCACCTGTGCAATGTTCTCATTCAGTATTTCAATTAGTAGTATTGGTCATGTATTGTTTTTCTTTTATATTCTCGTATGTGCTTAGTTCAAGCTGGCTGAAAGTAATTCTGCTTGCGTGTAGATCATCACCATTTTTTCCCAGGCAATAAACTAAGCACACAGGTTGGGATTCCTGTTTACATATTTGCACTTAGTCGCATGTTCGCATGTTTTTTCGCTGATGTACTCTACACTGGGGCCGATACTCGCTCATGGAACATTAATGCGTAGGCGGAAGAGTAGCCTATTGCGTACCATGGGGTGGATGACGGGGCAGGGCCAGGGTAAGAGCAGCAGCCAGGATCAGATAGAAAGCAAACGCAAAGTCAGTCAGGAGAGTGCCGCGGGTGAGCTGCAACCCATGGCGGAGAATCGTGGTACGTATGTATATTTGGGCGCGTGTAAAGTACGTTTACATGCTTCTACATATGTAAATCACGTCTGTATGCTTCCACATGTGCAAACTTTGTATGTGAGGTTCTAATGTACACACTAGTTGCTTTTGGTGACCTGTAGTATATGTTTGAAGGCGGTACGAGCGCAAGCTCGTGATGTACATATTTTCCGCTTCATGGTGATAGGTATTCCGTATATATCGCGCAGCGGCCAATGTACGAAGAAGGTGGTACATGTTTGAGGTAGTGATGTCTATACTGACTACTTCATGGCGAAGAGCAGTGCCTGTACATCATGTTGTATCCTATGTACGAAGATGTGACACTCTGTTTGGACATTGATGTCGGTACTATCTGATTGCATGCGACGAGTTACATATGTGCATCGCGTGTCGTTCTCGTTGGAATATGTATTCATTTGATTTGAAGGAGGTCCTTGCCGATGATGGAGAACAATACATATGAGTATATTTTTGAAATGGTTAGGGAGCTCGCATTGGGCTGCTCCAAAGCTACCATGAAGTTTGAAGTTTTAATCGCAAATCAGCTTTCGACCATATCTTTTGAAACAAGCAAACACGATTGGATCATTATTCAGGGCGTGTGTGACACGTGCCAAGTGGTCAAATGCATTTCAACATATTTATATACGTATCTGCGAGCTTCTTTTTTTCTTTGAAAACGAGCTTCGCACATATCTGGGGCTTGCAGGGTCCCGTACCTCAAATCTTGTGCGTGTCGGCATGTTGTACGTCGCGAATATACGTATACAATACATGCAGCATATGTGAGCACGCAGTACTCACGTCATGATTCTTGTGGCCTACATTTGAGTGAAATACACTTCTTCTTATGAATAGCTCTTCAGTGCTTTGGTTATCACGCTCTACTCTGTATGTATATATATTTGGTATTAGGATATATTCACTTATTTTGCAATGTTTTAAATATATGAAGAGAAAACCGTAAACCAAGTACACTTCTGGGTGTATATCTGACGTATCGTGTCTATCACTAGCGGTTCAACTGTCTCTCACAGCTCATATATAGTAATTCAATATATTGAACTCTTACTCATGTTTGGTCCACCTCGATTTAATGCGTTCAGAATTAGCAGCCACGCCCACCGAGGACACTGGACGACCGCAGCTCAAGATGATCAGTGGTAAACCTGGTGCCGCCGATATATACCGGAAGTACAATGTTGTGATAACTTTGTACAGAGACGACGAGGGTGTTGGGGAAGTATCTTTGCCGTTAGAGGTATGTATAGCAGATCGATTGAAAGGCATTTATTTACTACATAAGAGTATGTTGGGTAGATTTTGTGTGGCGTATCGAATACTTCAGGGCCGCACTGTTCATGTTCAACCCCATTGCTACCTTATGAATCGTACTATCTGGATTATATAAAAATATGAATGATTTAACATAGCTTTTTATTCATATTTTCCTTTGGGAATACTAGATGCTACTGCGATCATCTTTGCCCATTACAGCATGGTTGGAACTGTCCGAAATAGACCAAAGCTTTAAGGCGCGCCTGCAACGTGTGGGCGTTTTAACCTCGCACAAGCGCAAAAAGAATAAAATTCTTACTCGGTTTCAGCAGGTATAACTTTATTTGGAATTGTAGCACATTTCTGGCCTTATCATTTTTGAAAGCAATCAAAATTTATCGAGAGTGTTCTGCTTGTGCGAGTGGCTGTGATTGACATTCACAATATAAACAGTATAAAGCGGAACGTAGTATCACTCGAGTATTTAGTACCATTGAATTGCAGCCGTTTGCGCAGGTTTTTATTCACACTGCAGAGTATGTACGCATCAGATTAATAGCCACATTTATCATACAACGTTATCAAACACTTGGAACATTGCCTGTGAGAAATTCACGCCATCGAGCTATACAGCAGCTCTTATGCCAGCTTTCGATTACTCATCAGCGATATATGGATGTTTACTTGTCACGGAAACGGTTGAAGGTATTAATTGATCACGAATTTTTCATGTATTAAAGACATACTTTGCTGTCCGCGCATCTATCCTCAACCTTTGCTTCGATTTTCGTTCGCTTGCTACAGGACTGGGAGGATCCACGTATCTATTTACGCAAGCTCATTTCGCTGGAGACACTATTTATTATCATAACGCTCTGCCAAATCTTATTTGCTACTTTGATTGTGACGGTCATTCTATATCGGTACGCATACTCTGAACTCACGTCATCGGCCGAGATGGTGTCCAAAGAGGTGCGGTCTTCCATCATTGATGAATTGAGTATTCTCATGGAAGCAGTGCAGGTTCAGGTATGTAATAGGGCATTCGATCACCGCATCTAGTTTATAGCGATGATGGCGTAGGTGGGGAGGTTCATTTCTCTCTGAAATTCTCAGAATTTACAATTAAGCTGCTGTCTCTGTGCATTCAATTACTGTAATAGTATTGCTGCTATTTCGTCGAAAATTGTTGCTCTTTGATGAGAAATTTTGTGTATTTCAATGGTTAGAAAACATACGCGTCGAGACTCGTTGTCAAGCGATAAAACTGGAAACGATTCCGCAAATCCAACTCTATCGTCACGTATTTAAATAAATACGGTTGTTATTTGTCCCGTTTAGGTGGTTATAACGGCCACCGCTATTCAAGTGCTGATAGAGACAGAAGACTGGAGCACAGCATCGCACTTGCTACAGACGAATTTTGAATCTCAAAGAAGTCCATCGCAGGAATCTGTCGGTGAGTATACTGTACAGTGGAATGCTGGTAGCTGAGTTGTTATAGCATACGTGCTTGTTCGGGACTTCTTGGAGTCTCAGGCGGACTTGAAGAGATTAGATGCTTTGCTGAGTTCCTATAAAATATTTAATTCTGTTAAGTGAGTACTTCGAAGTGATTTCTATATTCATCAACAAGTTGATTGTACAGCTTTACATGTACAATCAGTTCCACATGTTACTTGACTATGATGGTGTACTACATTCTCTGCACAGAATAAGAGTGTATGTATGGCTGCTTCCATGCGTTCGCGTGTGGTCTGATCGTCAGCATTCACTCTCGGAGTGTTCCCGGACTCAACATCCACGCATACACTCAAGCACTGCTGAACTCGACGAGTTTCGAATTCAAACACATTTGTGAGTTCATTCTGGTCAATACACTTGTTGACTATCGCAGGTGAGGTTGCGAACCAAAATATCAGTCAGTTGCTCTATTTCGGGACCAGCGACTCTCAGTTCATATCCACTGGGCTTGCCTACATTGCAGAGGAGGGCGTTCGGGACAGTCTTGTGAACTATCGCGGGGTATGGGTTTTGTCATTCGCTTTATTGTTACATATAGCCTCACCTATCATTTTTGACCGGGTTACAATATACCTCAAAGAATAGTATATATTGAGATATCGTTGCATATAAATATACATCAAGGAATAATATATGTTGAGACGTCGTTGCATATAAATATACATCAAGGAATAGTATATATTGAGTTGTCGTTGCATATAAATATACATCAAGGAATAGTATATATTGAGTTGTTGTTGCATATAATACATCAAGGAATAGTATATATTGAGTTGTTGTTGCATATAAATATACATCAAGGAATAGTATATATTGAGTTGTCGTTGCATATAAATATACATCAAGGAATAGTATATATTGGGTTGTCGTTGCATATAAATATACATCAAGGAATAGTATATATTGTGATGTCTTTGCATATACGGCGGTGTCTATTGTATGCCGTGTAGCGATATGCTCTTGTTTCTACGCTCTCAGTACATACGGTGCCTCTCCAAATAATCAAGATGCCACCATCTGAGCTCGATCTACCCTTGAAGTATTTCCAACCCGCGCTGTGCTAGTGTAGTTTCTAATTTTACGGGGTGCTCTAATAATAACAAATATCCAGCTGCCGGATTATTCGGGAACAAATGGTTCGAATATGATCGGCTTTGGATTGAACCAGGACTGTGGAGCGTTTAACTTCAGTTGCACACTGGCCAATTTCTCGAATCCTCGTAGGAGAGTCGAAGGTTACAACCCGGTGGCCCGTCCTTGGTATGACTTTTCTTGGTGCATGTGTCCATATCTGACAGCATGTGGCCATACTTGTCTACTTTTGGGTCATGTGTCCATGTCTGACTACTTTTGGTGCGTGTGACCATATTTGACTACTTGTGCATGGGCCTAAATCGGTTGACAGGATCCAGTGCTGAAATAGCTTTTCTGTATTCATCATTCGAGCATCTCAAGTTATTCGGCCGATTTCGGGTTGTCCGCCCTCGCAGGTACATCAAAGCAAGCGAATCATCGGATTACAAGCCCATTTGGACAGATACTTATCCCTACGTAGGCACTGGAGGTTTAGGTAGTGATCCATATTTGCAATATCTGGTGCTGGAGTTAATTTCTGTGTAGGTTATTGTCATTCCTTGCGACATGCTCTTCAGCTCACGTTTCGTTATTTGCATCGCCCAAACACTTCAAGGTATAACCGCTGCCCTCAGATTCCCTCGGAATCCGGCGCGTGCCACGGAGTTCGTTACAGCGGCAGATGTCGCACTGGCTGGCTTGGATGAGAAATTGGCAAATATGACTTACTACATATCTGGTATGGATCGCAATTTATGGTCGTTAGTGCGCAAGCATATATAAGTATACACTTAAGGATGCCTGGGGGGGTATAGCTAACTCATGATTTCGTACGCATGATTCATTTATCTTCGATATTTTGCATATGATTGAGTTCCATCTAGATTGTCAAGTCCTCACGCTTGTGGTGTTGTTATTAGCATATCATACAAGTGCGGTTAAGGCAATTTTGTGCGTGTACTCTGTATATGAAGCGCGTGCCATGCACTTCGTTGTGCCTGTTTCAACCATGAATGACTGCAGTTAAATCATCTACATAGTAGCCGCACACACCTGTATCCACTTATTCCCTTCTATCTCTACAATTCCAAAACTAGATAATTCAAATGTGTGAGTACTCATCCTCTTTCTCTGTTACTTTTTAGGATATGGTTACATCTGGGAGGCTGATACCTATTGGTTAGTCGCCTCGTCTCTAGCTGCGCCGATTAGAACTGCAGATGGTGAACGTATACCGATTTCAGAGAGTACTCAGCAAGATATTCAGATGTCTGGTCAGTTCGTGACGGATCTATGCAATTTCAATCCGAAGTGTGTGAACCAGACGATCGTTTATCATTATGAGGTACGTTAATATGGGATTTGTCTTAGTGTGATGTACCTCTCGAACGTGCATTCAGCTTGTTTTCCCGTACTGTACGCCCTAGTTCTTATTTTTATACTGTTCTTTTATCACAAGATTATGAACGCATTCATCCAATCATACTGGTTTGATACATATCAGGCCATGTCGGGGTTTTGATTGAATCGCATATTAAATCCTGGGGGTTCCCTCCATTCACGCTAACGTAAACTGCCATTAATCTTGCTTTGGCGTTCATGCTCGAAGAAAACCAGGTCACCTCAACGATGTTCAATATGTAGCATAGGTTTTTAATTCTTTTGCTCGACATACGTGTGCTTGTCGTTCTATCAAAGCCTAACAAATCTCTTTTGCGTATCCCATCCCAGGACGTTCTTATCAGTCTCGATGTGTTTGAATCCGTGGGTCTGAACTGGGTAGTAACCGTTGTTATCCCGAATGAGGACTTTCTGGCCTTCTACGACAAAATGCTGATCGTGTGTGTGATTGTAGCCTTGGCTGATACCGTGCTTACGGTGTTACTGACCATCCTCGTTGTCAGCTCCATCACGGGCAAACTTACCCAGGCCACGAAGCAACTGGCGAACTTCTCACGTCTGGACTTTGCCTCTGAAGTACCGGACACACAGAGTTTTGTAAAGGTTCGTTATGTGCCTCCCTTTCTGTACAGAATATTTGTCAGGTGTTTCGACTGAACTATATATGTAAAGCCGTGCACGATGATTTGTTCCTTTGGGTGTATTTTCGATGGTATATACGGTATAATGTGCACGTGTGACATATTAGTGGTAATTTTAAATACCGTACTTGAAGATTATGATGTAGCCAACTAAACTCTAGATTAACTTGTAGTCCCAGCGGTGATTTGTATGGCTAAAAATTATGGGGTCGATATCTCATGTTGATAAAAGCAGTCCACTATCAGGACTTCAATCGCATTTTAATCAATGTAACACTCATTTTATACTCAATTGTTTTGTTTCTAGGAAATCTGTCGGATTTATGAAGCGCTAGTGGCCATGCGGCTATCTCTACGTTCTTTTTCAAAGGTGACTGAATGGGATTTTGTATCCGTATACTGTTATTAGTGCTATTTGCTTTATTCTACCTGCGACTTGAATTAACAGATCAGGCGGAGAAACCAAACGAGTGCCAGTATGGTAATTGATGATATTTGAAGTATAATTCTGCATAAGAGAAACACACTGTATACCAATTTTGATCGCACAAACCAAGCGTTTCTACTATTGGCGGTCTCATTTTTTAGCATCTCTTCGTTCGTTACCGTTTCGACCTAACATCAATCCATCGCATCGTCTCTTTTAAATAGTTACAAAGTCTCTCTGATTCTTTTCGACCTCTTACGTTTAAAACTCAATCGTTGTCTAACCCATCTCAAATTGTCTATAGTACATCTCAAGTATTTATAATCCCTCTCAATCATCGCTGTCACAGTACGTTCCGCCGTCCGTTGTGAAGATACTTGTGGAGCAAGGACAAGAAGCTCGTCTCGGGGGTCACAGACGCGTGATCAGTATTTTCTTCAGTGACATTGCTGGGTTCTCCCAATTGTCCGAAACGGTTGATTTGGACCAATTACTACCCCTCCTAGGTGCGTCATTTTTAAACTACCTTACTTGTGCACCTATTAGCACATGCTATTACAGATTGGCTGAAGCTATTACAGCGTAGCATGGGATTCCTTACTAGGATCGTGTCGGTATATCTCCCGTATCCCAATCTAGTAGAATTCAGTTGACAGCGTTGGGAATTTTGAGAAAGTTAATTCTGAGAAAATTTGTGTATGGAAGTCGGCAGTGCTTTATGAGAGCATTTTACTGAGACCGAATGTCATAAAACGGAGGGGTGACTGACGCTGCTTTGGTGCTCATTTCTAGTGCTACCGTTACAATTATCAATCTGTTGCAAATCTCATCCAATTTGAGCATCGTAATCTGTACTCGCGAGCCACAACTGCCATCGAATTTTAATTTTCCCCTACATACTTCTTTTGGGGCCACATAGGTACGTATTTGCAAGAGATGTCAGTGCTGATACAGGACAACGAGGGCATCATCGACAAGTTTATTGGCGACCATATCATGGCCCTGTGGAATGCTCCTGACTCAGTTTCAGAGCATGCATACAAGGTACGCTTCTGTTCTGGAGTTCAGCTCGCACGCATCTTCATTTCTTTGACATTGATCTTCGTTAGTTGATGCCTACATCCGTTGCAGGCAGACCGTGTTGTGCCTTGTATGACAACTTATTCATCACCAGAACTCTCTGCGCCGATATTGCCCTCACAATACGATACATCATTTTACTTGTACGTTAGGCGTGTGAGACTGCACTCCTATCTCAGGCTCGATTGACATCTATGCGCTGGGAATGGGAGGCTGTGGGCTGTCCCTACTTACAGTCACGTATCGGTATTCATACAGGCGATGCCATTGTCGGTATGTCTTTGAGGTGGTCCTCGAATAGATTATTTTCGAGTAAGATACTCTTTTGAGGAAAGCTAGAAAGCTTTAGTTTGCCATTTCGTTGGCCTCACTACCTCTCATCGAACCTGGGCAACCGACTACAACAGATAGTCTCAAATCACGACTCCGTGAAAATTTGAGTCGTAACATGTTAATATCCCGCACTTACGCTGATGCTTGATGCAGGTAATTTCGGTAGTGCAGATCGATTGAATTATACCGCCCTGGGGGACAGTGTAAATCTGGCCTCTCGATTGCAAGGACTGAATGACATGTACGGCACTGATATAATTATTTCGGCGGAAACTCAAGCGCTCGTGAGTGAGAGCTTTGTTTGCCGCCCTCTAGATGTCGTCGCTGTCAAGGTATTTCGAATATTGAAGTTGATAAATGTCAGGAGATTTAGAAAAATCTGTTTAAAAATGTGTATAGCATACTCAATCTCGTATGAAACTGAGCTTCACTGACGGCAGCGACTCTTTCATGCAAAAATTAGATAGTTGCGCTCTGATACCGCTCTTACCGTTGTCGAGGGTAAACTGGGCGAATGGAGACGCATAGATGCTCCGACGACCTATCTGTCACATGCGCTATACATCACTATCATACTATAATGTGTCTACCTATTGTCATGATACAATCGAGGCAGTCCACTACAACCAGAGTATGTCTTAGACTAAACGTTATGTTTTCTATTGCAGGGTCGCCAACAACCGATATGGGTGTACGAGCTCGTCGCTCACCGAGACGCTGTCACTCCCGAGCAAGCTGATGGGGTAGCACTGTTTTCAGATGCTTTCGCACGGTAGGTAGATACAGCGCAAGCAACTTAGTACTATCGTCGCGTACCTAATACTTTGTTTTTAGTTTCCGCTTGAGAAACTTCATAATTTTCGTACCTTGGTAGCATCCTGCTTTCTTTTAAAGCACAATAAGACCGTTTGTGTCCTTTCCTTTGCTGGTAGATATGGTGCTGATCTATCATTATATCGGTCGTCAATATGAAACAAATGTTAGGGTTTGCAATTGAGCGAGTTCGTTCAGATTTTTAATTCAAGGTGCTTTCTCTTGTCATGTATATATCTCGCAACGTAAACAGATACCAAGCCCAAGACTTGGATGCAGCCGCGGAGCTTTTCGGCAGATACATCAAGGAGTTTAACTTGACAGACAAGGCGGCAAATATGCATTTAAGAACGTGTCTGAATGCCCCCGAAGGATTCCAGGGCTTCAGAGTGATGACGACGAAGTGATTGGGCGAATCAATTCTGATCAATATGTACTGTAGGTCCTAGCTTTCCTAGATACAAGTGCTGTATTCATACAGAGGAATTCGGAGAGCGAAGGAGTTAGTGAATAGCTTACAGACACCGCTCGCTCTAACATTGTGCACAGGTATATATGAGCAGAACGACATAGTTTATGCATGTCTGGGCCAATCTATTTGCAGTCACGCATCCAGAGTTGTGTCCTCTCAACAATGTACTGTAACGACGATAGTTTTTAAACGCAGTGTGCTGTTTCGGTGTATGCCCAGTGCTATCCGAAAGGTTACAAAGCCGATATAGAGGCCACATGCGATTCAGATAATTCCAAACAGATTGGTGCGAACTTGGAACACGCATTACGTAGCTTGGTATTGAATTTCGCGCAACATGTAGTGAAGCAACGCGCGTTAGCTCATGCTTCGTCTTTGAGATGAATCGACGCGCAATATAGGGGCGGCTTGTGGATGAGACTGGCGTTGTGAATTCGCAAAAAAAGAAAACATCCACTAAGAGCCAAGTATGCTCATATAATCGTGCTTCCTGCACAAACTTTGCGTACTCTCACTGACGTGCGTCTACGCTGTCGCGACATGCGAGTTCCACTTCTCGTTGCGAATATAAAGAAGGCCAGTATGCGTGGCTTGTATTACACACGTGGCAGGATTGTTTTACCCCACAGCATCTTCAAAGTACGAAGACCGTCATTCACCAGGTGTGTGGTATACATCTACGAGCGAGAACTAATAATTATATATCATTGGCATAGAGTGCGGGTATATAGCAAGCACAAGCTACCATGCGGTATCGTACAGTCGCATGGCGATAATACTTGGGCAGTGAGTCAGAGGACGATTCAAACTCGTCACCATACGCCGATGCGCGTAGTGATCAATGTGGTTATTGGAAGATTATAATTAAGACAATTACTGCTAGCTTGAACCACAAGGCTTTGGACTCAAACTAGGATGATTGAAGTTAATATAGAAGTTAGATATCCAACTTTTCTAACACTGCGGCGATCTCATTTAAGCTAGCATATCCGTTCACAACAAATGAGGACGTGACATCAACGGATTTAGTTGTTCGTAATCACCCAGATTCGAATAGTAATAATAAAACCGTTGTTTGATTTGACACTTGATTTTAATATCTGATTCGGACACTGCCTAACCAACTTTGTCACTGATCTTGCCTTGTTGGGTTTCTACAAAACTACCGGCCAAGTGTCAAAACTTTCGCTGTTATCCGCACGTTCAGCACTGTAGCACGCTGGTACAGTACACATCCATGACGGCCAGGCAGCATATGCTAAAACAAGCAATTGTTTGCCCAAGAATAGCTAAGCTACCAACATTCCAAACAGATACTTCGAAACGCACGCACAGGTCGTGAACTATGGTGCTCCATTCAGCGTCTGCTTCACGCTACATTTTGCACCACTTCAAGGTCGTGCCCAGGGTGACCCTGCCCCTGTAAACATTTCACTGTAGTAAATGTACCCTACTAACAGTCTAACTCATTGCATATTATGACGAGTGTTTCGGAGGACGGATGAGAGGGCCTTGTGATCGACAACACCACCCTTGTACAGCCACTCACGCATGGCGGGAGTAATATCCGTGTCCGCTCTCGCGAACAACGAATTGAACCCATCGTTGGCAAAGGGTTGTACACAACTCTTCGTTGACCTAGAAAGAATTGAAGAATAGTTTGCGATGGCGTAGAAGTTTCGAATTACAGCAGGTATGGAATACATTCTGTCATATCCAGCTTTAAACTTCAGAGTATACACTGGGACCGACACGCATAAATGTAAGGGTTGATATATCTCAATACATACAGACACATGCATATATATAAAATATATCAAATTCTTGACTTATAATATATATATATATATG